CCCCCCCCCCCCCGGCCGACCCACGAACCTAATGACGGCGTCACCCACTGATCAATTTCTCTAAAGATACAGTTTCCAGTCGCTCCCGTTGATCAATTCCACAGCATTTCCACATACAACGGGACAGTTTCCGCCTGTAATGGACATCTTGTGGCATCCCTTTTCCGTAGTGGCTTACCTAGGAGTCGTTTGCGGACGGTTCTTCACCAATTTATTTAATGATTCAGAAATTTTTTAAAATATTTTCTGACCAAGGCTTGCTAAATTTTAGGAAAGGAGCACAGCGAAAAGAAATCAGTGTATTTAGAAGAGATAAATGAGCTGAATGGCACATCAAGCGTGTAAATTTGGTCAGCATAACTGAGAGTAGACGGGCCAGTAGGCAGATGGGCTAGAAAACCCCGGCAGTGCTCGCGGGTAGGCAAAATTGCCACTTCCGTCCCTCGGTTAGTGTTTCCAAAATCCTAAGCAAAGTGGTGTACATTTGATGCTCAGGAATTACTGGCAAATGTGTCTTTAGGCAAATGGGATGAGGTGAGATTAACTCAGAAGCCCTGGGAAAGGCCTCGCCCCCAGATGGGAAGCCCCGGAGAGGCGTCAGGACAAGCCCCGTGGCCAGGTCCAGGGGAAGGCCCTCCAGATGGGAACTCTATTCAGCAAGAGGAAGCTACTTCATGCCGGGGAAGGCAGAGTGGCAGAAGTGGCACCACAGCCCTTGCTTTGCTTCAGGTGACCTGCTCACACACACTCAAATCACCCCTCGGTCCCTGCGCTTGATGAAACCCTGCTCCAGGCAAGGAGATATGCAGGCCCCCTTCCTCCTTCAAGTTACTAGGTTCATTCTTAAATTCCATCTCATGAGTCATGAACCTTGGCTCAACGTTCACTGCAGGAAGTTGGGGGCCACATCTGCCTTCTGCATAGTGGTTTGCTAGTACCTCGCATCGTGCCTGGCACAAAGCAGGTGCTCAGTGAATAGCCCCGGAATGAAGGGACAGAGAGGAAGTGGTCTTAGAGGTCTGATAAGAGCATGGGCTTTGGAGTCAGAAAAGTCTACCTTCCAGTGTCTGCTCTGCTACTTCCTGGCTGTGTGACCTGAGGGCAGTTACTTAACGTCTCTGAACCTAGACTCCTCCTATGTAACATGAAGGGGAGGGTACCTCTTTCCCAGCCATGGTGTTGTGAAAATGAGCATCTTGCTTCACTCTGTTCCCAGCACACGCAACCACTGGATAAATGTGAAACTCAAAGAATTGGGTTGTCCACAAGAGACCCTACAGGCAATCTGAAAAGTCCTAAAAATTTTTTTTGCTGTGTATTTTTGAGAGGGAGAGAGAGTGCAAGCAGGGGAGGGGCAGAGAGAGAGGGAGACGCAGAATCAAGAAACAGGCTCCAGGCTCCGAGCTGTCAGCACAGAGCCCGATGCGGGACTCGAACCCACAAACTGCGAGATCATGACCTGAGCCGAAGCCGGATGCTCGACCAACTGAGTCACCCAGGCGCCCCAGCAATCTGTCAAGTCTTAAGACCTAGAGGCTCTTACAGGGTCTGTGGTGACACGGTGTTCAGAGGCTGTGTTCTAGAATCAGAGTTCCCACGCTTATCCAGGTGCACCGCCTACCAGCTGGGCCAGCTTGGTCACAGTACTACCCCCTCGGGGTCCCAGTCTCCCCCCTCGGTAAGCCGGAGGTGTGGACAGTCACAGCATCTGCTTCCCCAGGCTGCCGAGAGCATCCAAAGAAATGAGTCACGTAAGATCCGCGGCGCCTAGGCGGTGAGCTGTCAATAGGTGGTAGCGACTATTATTTTTTCAGAACTCGCCCACACGTGTCCTCAGGAAGGCCGTGCCTGCCTCTTGGTTCTGAGCCACCATCTGAGCATCCGTACGCTGTGCCTGCACCAGCTAAGCAAGGTCCTGCTAAGTCATCCGGGAAGGCAGCACACTCCCAGCGCGATGGGCACACGGCATGCGCGATGCTCGAGCTCGGTCTCATCCATACTTTATAACTGTCTAAGCTGTGATCGATAGCCAGGGCCAGCTCAGTCGCCTCGCCGAGGATGGAAACCGTTTCTGGGGCTACTTCTTGCCAGCTTGAGAACTTCCAGCAACTCCACCAAGAGGGCAGGGGCTCTCGCGGTGGCCACGAGAAATAGAGCCGGATGGCCGTGCGTCTCCAGCCAAATGGAAGTGCCAGGAGCCCCGCCAGGGCCCTCTGTCACTGTCACGGGGCTGCAGAGCCTCTGGTGGAAGTGGGGGCTGTGGGGCTGCAGAATGGACCGTGGCTGTCGCAGCCTGGGGCACAAGAGGCCCTCTGTGACTCTCCCCTCCGGTTAGGGAACTCTGCCCCCCAGACCCCAGCAAGCCTGCCGCTGACCTTCCGGAAGCAGACCCCCAGGGTTCGGGAGAATCCCTCAGGCCAGTCCTGAAGCATGCCCTCCAGCAGAGAGAGAAGACGTCGTGTGGTGCCCAGAAGGCACAGCTGAGTGAAGAGGAAGGGTTTGCTCTGGCATTCTCGAGCTGAGTCTCCGTGGGCACTGGGGGCTGGGTCCTCTGCTGGTGGCCTCTAGGTGGGTTGACAACGGCAGGACTACACTGTGTGATCACAGACTGGAAATGCCAAGGGTGCCAGCAATGCCGAGCAACGGAGGCAAAGTCATTTCCCGTTTCTTCCGCCAGCAGCCTTCTGCCAAAACGGTGCCCGTAATGGCCGGGGTCTGAGATGTAGCAGATAACAAGGTCATTATGGTGAGTGGGTCACTCACGGACGTGTTCGTTCATCCGATAGCCATGCTCCCACACCTGTGCTGGCGGGCATCGGGAACGCAACACGCGAAGTCACAGCCTGTGCTGCTGATGTTAGTGGAGGGGTGGGGGGTGGGGGTGGCCGCTGCTGTGCACATACGTCCACGGGGCCCTGTGATGTCAGGGAGGCAGGAGACAGGGGAGGCTTCTCACCGGCGAGGGGCTGGGCTCCACCTGGTCTGGAAAATGAGGAGCTGGTGGGCGAGGAAGGGAGGGGCCTTCCCGGGACAGGGAGTGCAGGGGGTGAGGGCCCGAGACAAGAGGCATTATGGATACTTTGGGGAACATCGAGAAATACAAGGAGTAGAGCAGAGAAGGGTCCGTCAGACTTCCACCTCCCGCTCTGGGTTCTCGGATGTTGACGGACGCATCACCTCGCCTCCCATCTCGCTCCTTTATCATGGCTGAAGATCCCTATCACCTCCCCTCTGCCCCTGGGAACGAGAGACCGCAAGGCAGGGAGAGGGGGTGCTGGGGCTGGCAGGGTGTGGAGAGCCGGTCCGGGGTCCCCCGGGAACCCAGGGTTTCCACAGCGTGTACCATGTGGGTGGTACAGGGCCCCACCAGGTCAGCACGGACCGCCTTCCGGGGCTACCCGGTGCCATCGCTCACACTGAACGCTGAACAAGGGATATCGTCGAAGCGGTGCTGTTGGCGCAGAAGGCATATTTGTTTGCTTACTTTTCGGTATTTGTGTTGCAGCCTTGCTGACCCCAAAGATGGATTGTGGGCATGCTTATTACGAAAAAATGTCGCACCTATGGCGGTGAAGTTCCTTAGTCTTATAAAACCGGTGCATTTCGTCAGTTGTGTAACAAGCGGAAGGGGGCATCCGCCAGCGGCCGCCGGGGCCCCTCCCCACGGCCCTCAGGGCTCACGAGCCTGCCTCTTGTCTTTGCAGTTCTTCCTGTTCATCCTCATCATCTTCTTGGCGGAGCTCTCGGCGGCCATCCTGGCCTTCATCTTCAGGGAAAACGTACGTCCGGGCCCACGTGCCCCGGCCCTGCTTCGCGGCCCCACAACCCCAGTGACCCTCTTCCTGCAAGAGTTTTTCCAGAGGGAAGAATCGGAGGGTCCTTAAGAGTCTCCGCCCTTCCGAAGCACCTGATACAACCCCACACCTGATTCTGGAACCTTCCATTCCACACCGTACCCAGCAGTAGTCATTTGACAGTCTGAGGACAGTCAGAGAGGCTGTCCCCCAGGTCCAGTGATGTGCAGGAGAACAGAGCACTTTCGCTGGAGGCCTGGCCAGTATCCAGTTTGGACAAACTGCCCCCACCAGCCACCTTATTCCAGGGACTCCAACCACCAGGGGCACCAGCTCCCTCCCCTGAGTCTATAGGACCAGCCACTGCAGCCAAAGGGGGCCTGGAAAGGAGGGGGTTAGGGGCTAAGAGACGCAAGCCGGCCTGGGGGAGGGGAGGAGGCAAGCAGGGGACAGACAGGAGGAGGAGGCAGCCATGTGGGCAGGGAAGGGAGCCTCCGACTGGGCACCACGCAGGGCCCTGCCCCTTCACTGCAGCAAGAAGGAGGGTAGTTAGACCCCAGGAGAATATTTTGAGGGCAGGAGCAACTTCCAAGGACACCTCTGGAAACTGGATTTGCAGACTCCCTGCTCCACACTGTGGTGTCTTCAGGGGCTGGGACCCCGGGGCTGGGACCCAGGGGATCCCCCGGCTCTGGGGGACAGCTCAGGATGGCAAGCTGCCCATCGTGGATAAACTCTGCATCTGAGAAATGACCGCAGGGCTGAGAGAGGTTCCCAGCATGCCCTGGCCTCGGGCTCGCTGAGGGGTGTGTGGGGAGGCTTCCCTTTCGTGCCAGTGAGCCGATACGGGGAGGCCACAGGCCCTGGAGTGGGGACTAAGGGGCCACCCCAAGTTAGGAGAATCCCCTGCACTGGGCCCTCAGGCCTTCCCTCCCCTCCGGAAGCAGCTGAAGAGACCTGAACGGGTGGGGCTGCACTGCGCTGCTGGGCGGGGGTCTTAGCCTGCCCTCTGCCTCTTCCCCCAGCTCACCCGAGAGTTCTTCACCAAGGAGCTCACCAAGCACTACCAGGGCAACAACGACACAGACGTCTTCTCTGCCACCTGGAACTCCGTCATGATCACGGTGAGTGACTCCCCCAGGGATGCCGTGAGCATTCAGAGCCACGATGCCCAGGGCGGCCAGTGTCTGGCCTCCAGAGCCCACTTTGCTCAAGTGCCTGCATCCGTGATCAGTCAGGGCCGGCCCACTGAGCCCGGCTTGGCCTGGGACTCAGCATCCGTACAGCATTCTGGGCCCTTACTAACGGCCCAGCAAATGCAGTCCAGGCTCCGGCTGAAACCTGTTTGCTACCCCTGACCTGAGTCCTCAGACAACTGTAATTGTCAGAGACGGTAATCGCAGCAGGAGTTTATTGGGTGCTGATGCCTCGTGAGGTAGGGGTTGTTATTGCCACCTCCACCTCTGCTTGACACATGAGGGCGCTGAAGGCTCAGAGAAGTCGAGTGACTTTCCCAGGGTCACACAGGAGGAGCAGATAGAACCCAAGCTGGTCTTGACCCTCTCTACCGCCCTGCCTGATGGTGGCCTTGGGAGTGGCTGTCTGCCCATCTCTGCCCCTGGATCCAGCCCCCACCCACCAGACCTGTCCCTGTGCTCTCCTCCTAGTTTGGTTGCTGTGGGGTCAACGGGCCTGAAGATTTCAGGTTCGCATCGGTTTTCCGACTGCTGACTTTGGACAGTGCCGAGGTCCCGGAGGCCTGCTGCCGGAGAGAGCCCCAGACTCGGGACGGGGTCCTGCTGAGCAGGGAGGAGTGCCTTCTGGGAAGAGACCTGTTCCTGAACAAGCAGGTACCGGGCCCTGCTCCCCGAGGCAGGGGCTGCGATGGCCAGAGCCGGGCAGGTGGCCGCATCGGCACAGAGGGTCTGAAGTCGTCCCAGAAATCCTCTGGAAGTGTCGGCTGCCATGTGCAACTCCCGAATGGGGGCTGATGAAGCTCCATCCAAGCCCCTGGGGCCCAACCAAAGTAGAGGAAGGACGACGAGGGGAACAGATGGGCCAGCGATAGCAGAGGCCGGAGGGGTGGGCGTTTTGTCTGGGGTTAAAGGGTGAGTAGGAATTTTCCAGTGTTCTAGGCAGAGCACTCCCCGAGCTTCCGATAATGCAGGTCGGGAGTCAGCCCCTGAATTACATAGTGGGGGCCCCTCCTTAGCCCTGATTCTGGGGGAAACTCACATGTGCTGTCTAGAAGCACCTCCCGACCCCGAGAGAGCAAGGCTCCTCCCCCCCCCCCATCCCCAAGGTCAGGGAAACTACCAGACTCTGCTTCTCTTGCAACCCAAGGACTTGATCTCAGTCTGGGAAGAAACCCTTTCCTCTTCTTCCAGGAAGAAGAGGCTTCTCTGGCCCCGCTTTGCCCCACCTCCCCCTGCCCCCCCCCCCCCCCCCCCCCCCCCCCCCGCACTGTGAGACGGACAGTGCCCTTGTACTTGATTCCTCCTTCCCTCCGAGTGCTCTCCCCCCACCGGGCCCCCAGCCCCTGGGGTGTGTGTGTGAGACCAGGCAAGGCAGGGGTGGGGTGGGGGTGGGAGACGGGAGCAGGGACGAACCAGGTGCCTGCCCCATGCCCCTCCCTTGGTTAGGCTTTTGATGAGGATCTCCTGGGAGAGTTGCAGATGCAGGGGACACAGCAGGGTACAGGAGACAAGGCCCCTGTCCCTGTGGGGCTCACAGTCTAGCAAACTAAGTCGTACTTTCACATGGTAATGATTGCTATAAAGAAAATAAAACCTAGACAGGAGCTAGAAGGGACTGGGGTGGGGGCCTCAGGGCAAGCTTCTTAGAGCCTCAACGAAGGGGCCTGACTGAGGCCTGACCCTGGCCGACCCAGGAGGCCATTCAGCTTGGAGCTCAGCACCTCAGCTCCTGTCCCCTGCACATGCCTGTGCCATGTCAGAGGATTCACAAGGGCCCTGGGGGTCAGGCCACTGTGAGCTTGGAGTAGCGAGGGCCCCCGAGAGGCTGGGTCTCAGCCTCGAGGGGAGGCTTTAGGATGTGGAGGGGGGCCTGGGGGAGGTTTTCAGGCTTTGATGTCAGGCGGGCCTGGATTGCCGCCTGCTGTGACACCCTCTCTGGACCTCAGATTCCTCATGCTGTGGCACACACTGCTGGCCCTTCTCCCCGGAAAGACGGGGTCTATTAGACCCCATAACCACCAGGGAAAGGCAGCACATCCTACTGCCCTGCAGCTGGGCCAAGGGACCTCGCAGCAGCCAAGGGCAGGCGAGCAGAAGTGATGTGTACATCTTGTGTTAGGTCCTTAAGAGGAGGCACTGTGCCCACCCCTACTCCCCTCTGGCTGGAATGGAGCTCTGGTGACAGCCATCTGGGACCTGGCAGCAGAGGGTGGCCCCCCAGGATGTCAGAGCATCACAAGAGGAGCCCGGGCCCCTGACCACTCCGTGGAGCAGACGGGCCACCAGAGCTTGGGATTTAATATGAAAGGCAAATGAACTTCTGGCCGGTTGAAGGCACTGCTGTTTGGGCCTCCTGGTGCCCACAGCCAAACCTGTGTCCTAAGGCCACTTGTCAGTTATTCAGGGAGGCTTTTGCTGGGGCCTGTTCCTTTCGGGCTTTATCCTCAGAGGCTGCCCATTTGTGGACTCATCCTTGATCATGACACCTTCTTCCATCTCCTGGGCATGGCTTTGGAATCAGCTCATCGGGGAGGTCCCTGTGCAGCTGCATTAGCCCTTTATGTTGACTCTTCTCTGTGCTTCATAAGGATCCCCCGAGATTGACTTCTGGGATCCTTTTCTGAGATGCTCATATCCCTCCTGGGCATTCTTCCTTTCAAAAGCCTCTGTGGAAGGACTCCTTCGTAAAGCCCGGTGTGCATTTCTGACTTTGCCTTGCACCCCATCACAGTCGGTGAGCAAAACGTCTGAATGCACGGACTTGAAATCCCAACTAAAGAGGCTTATGCAAATTCCCTTTGTGTTTTACACACAGCAAGAGTTCTGGAAGTTGGTGGCTTTGTCGTGTCAGTCAAAGCCTGGTCTCTGTGATCTTTGTGGCCTTTCTTTGTACATATCAGTCCACGGTGGCAAAATGGCTGTCATAGCTCCAGGTACCCCACCCATGTTTAAGACACAGAGCAGGGGAAAGTGGGGCACGCCATCCTTCCAGAAAGCCCCGGTAGACATCTGCATAGATCTTGATGGCCGGGACTCAGTTACATGGCCACCAGAGGCCAAGGCAGAAGGCCCCTGTCTGTGGACGTTGAATTAGCCAACCGCCATTGACCATTGAGCTCCAATGAAAAGAAATGAAGAAATCCCGAAAGAAGGTGACCTGTGAGGAGTGCTCAGATTCCCCCACTGGGATGAGTCAGACCCTCCAAGGCGGCTTCTCCAGCTCATTCCTCAGCCTCCCCTGGGTCAAGATGGCCCCCCAAGCAAGTCAAGAACGTGTTCCCCTGCTGGAAACAAATTGGGGGGCTTCCCAGTAGATGATGACCTTGCTAGAACGCGACTCCAGGCCAGAGTGGTGACCACCAATAGGAAGTCGTACATACTCCCCATCTGTCGGGGTGATACTAAGTCTTCTCTCCTCACAGCATCACTGTTTCTCTGCTTTATCCCCAGCGCTCCCTACCTGCTTCCTGGCAGGTTGTGAGTGTGGGTGCTGCTGTGACTCTTGACATAAAGTGCTACACCCTCATCCTCCTGGCATGGGAAAAGTGTTCCAAGCCAGAGAGTGAGAGCAGCACGTGCAAAGGCCCTGGGGTGGGCTGGAGCACAGTGAGGACCCGAGGCGAGGGCGTCAGCAGGACCACACCCACGTTCTCCGTGTGTCTGTATCCACCTCTATCCCAGTTCGTGTATGCCCAGGACTGCTTGCGAAAGCATTCATCCGTTTAGAGGGGACCTCGAGGGTCGCGAGGGTCTCCGGTGTATTGCTGCCAGATTGCTGTTGGGAGGCCTCCTGCCTCCCACCCCCTCCCACCCCCCACCCCCACCAAACGGTGGATTGCTGCTGCCTGAG